GTAGTGATATAGAAACAATTCCTTTAAATAATTATATTTTATCGAAATTAATCGTTGGGTTTGTAATTTTCCTGCTTTTCTTGGAGTCGTTTCTTATTATATAACATTTAGTTCGTCAAGTTATAAATGCGACTAACGGAAAAATAAATATTATGGTTGCTTAGAGATGGGTTTGAACATCATACTACACCACCATTTTTTAGTTTTAAAAAATCTAGAATGAAAATGGTGAAGTACAATAGAAGTTTAGGAAGTTTGAAGTTTGAAAACTTTATTTTACCGATACAAAATTTAAATTCTTGTAATCCAACTTTTCATTTGTACTTTAATACAATATACGTATTGGTATAAATAATTCCATTTTTTCCGTTGCCCCTGCATTAATGCATCATCGTTCATTCATTCTCTACAGTACTTTCTCTCTGGTGCACGTAACAACAATTCAAAACAGTAGAAAATCATTGTTGATTCTCAAATAGGAATTATTATTGTAGGCATAATTATGAAGCAATGCATCAAAAAAAAAAATATATGGATTATTTGAACAGAGATGATAAACTTTTTTTTTTTCACATAAAATTCCATAACGAGTAATCCTAATAATGTTCTCGAAAATAAAGTTTTATTTATCGATGGGACAACAGATAAAAAGATAACTTTGGTGAGTTTAAAAGTGAAACAAAGAGATTTGCTGCTAGATTACGCGATAAAGTTGGGTTTAAACGGGGAGCTGCTTTAGCGATCGTTTCTCCTATCAGGTGATGATTTGAATCCATTGATGCATGCCTGTCTGTTTTACATTAGCTAATAAAGATTTGTTTTGCAAAAGGTTGATTATCTCGTTATAATATTTGGTGCAGTTGTTGCTGGTAAGTATTACGCGGGATCTCCAGTTAATCCAAAATCTACTGTCCCGAGCTATCACACCAATTCTTCGCCTCCAGAGCTTCTGTAATAATTCTCATTCATCGTGTCTTTCTACAACCATTGAAGCTGCTGCCGAAACCCAAATTCCTCATTCAAAAATATTCTTAATCAATTATGAAGAGATTGATGGAATTCAACCATACGGCACATTGTTGATCGAGAGTTCGAGCCTATAGAGTATACGCTAGAGGAGGATCAGCATACCACTGCAATTTTATGTTTTAGTTTGGGTACAATTGGCAAAAATAAAGGCGTCGTAATCACACATACGAACATAATCGCAAATGTAAAACAGGTACAGTGGCACCTGTCTATTTGCATATTCTATGTAAAAACGTACAAATGCATATTTCTTGCTCAGTCCCAACTTATAGAACTCTTGACGTATATATGCATAACCTGTCTAAATGCATATTTTTATAAAAATTTCACTATGGTCCCAACTTTATGCAAATAG